ATAAAATAAAATAAAATAAAATAAAATCCCTTTTGTCCTAGGAAAAGAAGCGGATCATTAGGACATTAAAGTACAGTGAAAATCCATGCACTGTTGCTGGTTAGCCCATTGGTTTGTACTGTCCAACATCATTTGCTCCTTTTAACAGGACTCAAATCTTGCCTCAGTGAAGAACAGGACAACAGAATGTCTGATGAAGTGACTGCATGTGCACTACCGGGAACAAAGGCTGAAAGAGAGGATGTGATCTATTTGGGCAGCCAAGATTCACGTTTTGGTTGCCACACAAGCTTGAGGTCACTCATTAGCCCTCTTAAAATCCCCATGTAAAGAAAAATAACCACAGTGGGAAAAAGGAAATTGGATTGTCCAGTTGATTCCAGTTCATTCTGAACTGAAATGCATAAATGCTCCTCCAAGACGTTATCTCCCAGAAAGGAGAGGCTCTGAAAGCATGCAGGTACCAAGGAATATAGAAGTGGAAGGTAGGGCACTGTTGTACAGGCGAAAGTCCAAATTTAAAAAGTGATCCAGCAAGTACTAGTGGCACACACCCTCCACGACCTCCACTCCTTTGCATGACAAAAATACACTAAATAAAAACTGTACTTTGCAACAACAGCTGATCACGGACAGAAGAGTAATATTTCTCCTTTTTGTCTTCTTAACATATATTGTGGACATTGAAAGCTGCTTAGATAATTGCTGTTGTGTCGTAAGATGAAAAAAACTGAGGTCTTTAAGTTTTAATTTTTCAATTTGTAATAAAAGCCTTTGAGTCATTTTGAAGTACATTAAGATGCTTCTGGAGCAAAAGACATCATCTCCAGGCAACTTGATGTTGCAAGTCTATTTATGGAACTTATTTCACAGTGATTTATTAGTCTATTAAAAAAAGTACAGTTTTCAGAGGTATTATTCCCCTTGCTCCCTTCAGGAACATCTAGAGCACCTTTGGGAGGCAAAGAAACAGGTAGGCAAGCTGCATTTATCTAAGGCTACAGAAAAACTTGTTTTCTTGTAAAGGATAACTTGAAATTTCTCTTATACATGCTCCCAGGAACATGTAAGAAGTTCAATTCCACCCAGCAGTGTAGATACCAGAAGTTAAAGATTTTAAGAAGAAACACAAACTTGGTAAGTCAGTAGCAAAACAGATGTCTGTCAGTGGAGTATTTGTAAAGAGACTCTGATTCCCACGACCTTAGACTCTGTTGGGAAGGAACACCATCTCACAGTGGCCAAGTCTTCATGGAGCATCAAAGTGAAGAACTGGAAGTCTCTTGTTTATTACAGCTGAAGAAACTTGGAAAGCCAAGCTGGCTGCATTGGCAGTTCCAGGATCAACTTCTAGTCCATGGAGAGTTTTATAGTGGAAGATAATAATGACAGCAAAAGAAAATAAAACATGATCAAGCTGTCCAGAAAGAGCCTGCTGGCCACTGTCAAAGTCAGACATGGAGAGGCCAAGACGGGGAAGGAAAATCTCACATGAAAGCTGGAAAGAGGAAGAAAAAAGAGCCACTTATCATGTAACAGCATGGCAAACAGGCAAAAGTTATGCTTATGCAGATATCCTGGGGGGGACACCTGCTTTCTAACTTCGTGTGGAATGAACCATTGGTATGTAAAACACATGCTTTCCTGTCCCACATCCCAGTGTGAAACAAAACAAACAATGTTGACATCCCTGTGTCTTAAAATTGCATCTAAAGGATTGGTAAAAGCACTTTTCTTGTGCATATATGTAAAAAGGCTTCCTGGAGCAATGCGGAGTACAGAAATAAAGTAACGCTCCTTAACCAAGAGCTGGGTAAGCCCATTGCTTAAAAAACTCTGACTTGAAACACCAAAACCTTTAATGGCAGAAGCAGGTTGCAGCTACTGGGAGCTGCTGCCATAGACAGGTAGCTGACAAGCTAGAAGTACCCATCCCCCTAAACAGGTCGTCTCATAATCAGATGTGGTCAGCAGAGGCTAATTTGGAGCACTAAAAAGGGGTAATCAAAAAGGTACTGGAGCTAGAAGGCCAAATATATTCAATATCTGCAATCTTTGCACAGAAGGCACCAGCTACACTGAACACTACACATGAGCACCTTGCAGGTCTGGGCCAACACGCTGAAAACTCACTTTGGAAATACCAGGAGCTTCGTGAAATCCCATTGAATTCTGATGTTAGTCTGAATTCCCACTGATGTCTTATGTTTCCAGGGCCTGTGCACTGAGCCAAAACCAGACTAAAAACAGTCGCAGGCACCACCGAATCGGCCTCTTCTACAGGAATTTGGAAGATCAAGGCAAAGAAGGCAAGATTGAACATCCACCTAGGGTCATGGAGACTGAAAAATCCTGTGTGCCTTTTAAATTAATCGCTAATTAAGATCAGTAATAATATTAAACCGAAAAGCCCAAACCCAAACGTCTGAATGATGACAGGAGGAGTGAGTGCTGCTGTCAGTATGTGTAAGCAACCCAAGCCTGTCAGGACCAGTGGGTGCCAAACATCTATGCGCCTTGAAATCCATTTGGTTGCAAGTCAGGCAGCTCAAATGCTTCAGACGTCTGGGTCTACCACAGCTCCTGCCCCAGTATTTCTACAGCACCAGTAGAGCTGGTGTGTTGGTGTGGCTCTGCACAGCTGGCAGTGTGCTGGGATGTTGCTGCTGGTGGCACTGCAGCATAAGTAGGCTCCAGCACACCTCTGCCTCGAGTTTCCAAGTCCTTTGTGGCTGTAACCAAAAGCTTTCTATGTTGTGTGTTAATTAACTGCTAATCATATTAACTGCTGATATCAGTTTACAAACTAATGATACTCAGTAGCATCCTCATGTACAGTGGACATACTAAGTATATAACCAGGCATCTTTGGGTACCATTTCCCAGCTCAAGGGATCCAAGCCTTCCTATTAGCACTGTTATTTCTGACTTGCAATTGCTGGTAAACAAGCAGGACCATCAGGATGTTGTGCTTATGAGCTAGGCTCCCTTTCAAATTGTCATAAGCCCAAGGGAAGCCCCGTGAGTGAGTTAAGTTCAAATATAACCTGAAGCTTCTTTCACTGGGAACAGTTTGGAGCTCTTATTAAATGAGAAGGCAAAGCTTAATTCTCCAAAGCTAACTTTCAAAAATCAGAGAGACGTGAAAGGTGCAAGTCTGTCAAGAGCACCCACATTCAACTGTTGAAAATAGCACAGAGAAGATAATGAAAGTGAGGCAAATCATCTGCCTGACATAATCCATTACCCCACTGATTCTTCTGCAGGAAACATAATGCTACTGAGCTATTTTATTCCAGGCTCTGAGGAACAACACTGAGCTTGGGCGAAGGAGCCTGAATCTGAACACTTTCCACGTTCAGACACTGCTAGACCAGAAGGATCCCCAAAACTGCAAATACAACCAACTAGCATCAACATTTTAACACGAATACCTTTGAGCGAAAAAGATGAGCACAACACCCTTCCCAAAGCACTGACTGCCAATTTACCACAGACTGCCAGGAAGAATTAATATGTTTTCAGATTTTACACAATGTATGTATTTGCTTATCACAACCAGTTCAAGAAAGTGCCCACTGAATGTTGGAAGCTCTGTACACTCATCTGAGAAAGGCTGATAAACTTCTGTATGTTTACAGCTTTTACTTTCCCCTAGGACATTTTTCCTTGATGATATTCTGCTTCTGATTATTTGCCCAGCCAAACATGCATATGCAGCAGGGGCCAGTACACAGGCGACTCTGCAGGAAGTTTACAGGGAGGAAACGAATGGTCAGTGTTTTGTTCCACATTGGGAAATGTATTCTTCTCATATCAATATGAGAGTGCCTGCAGGGGACTTAATAGACATGCAGATCCACACAGCGATTACTTCTCGCTGAGCTAAAGAGATGCCAACCCTAACATCTGTTTGCAGTTCATTCTGTCTTATCAAAGGCTTTTTCTGTAACCCTTATCACATAGTGTGGAAAGGACGGCTAACAAAACATGCTCTGTTAGCTGAAGAAACAGATTGCTGATCCAGTTAGCTTAGGCAAAGGACTCTACAAAGAAACCAAAGTACTCACCTTGACACAGGAGTAAATGACCGAAACAAACACCACTGTGGTCAGGATCAGGAAACAGGTCAGGTAGAAACCCAGCATAAATGTAGAGCTGAAATCAAGGAGATTTTTTTTTTTTTTCAAATGCACACCATATAGGATAGCTACAGCTCTGCTCTCCAGAATATGACATTTGTACAAGCTATGACACACTGCACGGGCTTTCCAATTAGGCTAGCAGTAGGAGACACGAGGTGCCTTGAATACCAACAGATACTCTGTCCTATTTCGAATTACTCACGCAGGTTGTGGAGCAGACAATACTGCATCTTTTACAGCAATCCCCTTCCTGCTGGAGTGACAGCAGAGGGACTGAGGAATATTTCATGTGCTAGAGGAGCTGACAGAACAATTTGTTATGGCGGGTGGGCCCCCGGCTGGCTGTGGGCAGGAGACCTCTGGGAAGGAAAGCGCGCTGAGCGCTGCACTGCAGCTGAGTGGGAATAGCCTTAGTGGGAATAGCTACCCGTCCTTGCTGGGCACAGGGAACGCCTGTGCTGCACCATTCTCCGTGCTCTGTCTTGTAAATGGGACAGGAGCAACCATGCCACAAAGATAGTCAGGGGAAACAGCCTTAGCTCAGCCAACTTGATAGGTTCCTGTTCCTGCCAACTTCGAAGTATAAACAGGGCCAACTTGGTACTATGCATTCTCATCTGTTTTGACCATGATGACATTCAACAACAGTTTCCCAGTGACTGGTCTCAGTGTGACAGGACAGGCCTCCTCCCAGGAGTTAGCCTTGTCATAATTTAAAGCAAGTATTCTTGCAACGTGATGTTGAGGCCAACCACACCAAAGCCAGGTGGCCTCTGTGTTCTCTCATGACTACTAAGATAATTGCACTTGCTAATTCACTGTTTGAGCCTTTGTGAAATTCATTAAAGCTATTCCTCTTTATCATCATAAATGATCATTGCCATTTTGTCTCTAGTTTCACATTCAAATTCCATGTTGTATCTTTCATGAAGCTCTGATGGTGACACGTATACACCTGTGGTTTCAGTTGCTGCTTAACCGTTACCTTCAATAACAGATCAAAACTATGTAATTGAAATATAAGGAAAAACAAAGCAAAAGGCGAAGGAAAGTATATCTAACCTGCAGTTAAAATAAGGAATTTTATTTACTCTTGAACCAAATCATCTTTGAGACAGGCCAGGCTGTGCAAGGCCATTTCAGAACTTCCCAAAAAAACCCAATCACCACCCTTATGGATGGTGTGGAAGGAGACTGAGCAGCGTGACATTTACACCATGCTGCCATAAGGGATTGGCTCCTGTGTAATACAAAGGAGTAAGCCATATGGTTGCCACAGATCAAAAATTGTCAAGTTGTCATTTAAATGTTAAACTGGGTTTTATGGAAACAGCTTAGAAGCTCCCTGCTTAGGGAGTTTGATGAGCAATACAAAGGCTGGTAGAGGGCCTCTGCAGGTGTGAAATCACAGCAGTAATACCCAGAGATCCAAAGTGTAAGCCCTTGCTAAACCAATTACTCTCAAATAACAGTTTTGGACGTAATTAACGATGAGTTAATTGCTGGGACTGATCTAGTTTGAATTTTGAACCCCTTTCAGCTTCACTTCCAGTTTCCCAAAGTGGATCTCTCTGTTTACACAGTGCATCTGTACTGATGTTGTTTTGCTGATTCAATCTGTGAGCAGAAATGAATGTCCTCCTGCCTGGAAGAGTGAATGACCTCAAACATCAGACTGTGTGTTGTTTCACTGACCTTATGAGTATCTGATCTGAACAGTGCAAACTAATCTCTACTCTGAAAAGATCTGTGGTGTGAATAGAAGCAGAAAGCCATTGTAATGGTGTATAAGTAATATCAGAGTTCTCTTTAAATAATTTTTTGTCTTCTTGTAATGAAGATGAACTTGGAGCATTTTCAGAGCTTCTGTGATCTTGTTCTTCAGATTAAAAATGACTAACTCCAAATTTATTTCCAACACAGCAGTGCTCAGTGAATGATATATTATTGCTACTAAACTAGAGCACGGGAAATACCAACATGCTTTAATTTTAAGAGATTTTTTATGAACTCTTTGAGAAGAAATACCATGTCTGCAGAGTTCACTGCTGGAACAGACCCAAAGGCCAGGGTTACACTGTGCCTTTCAGACAAAGCATTTCACTGCAGGGTCCAAAAGCACTGTGCCCCACAGCCCTGAGGAGCTTATGTCACTCTTGCCCAGGGAAGAAAATGACTGCAACCCCCAAACCCTGAGTGAGCTACCCAAAGCATAGGCAACTGTAGCTCAACTCCTTCTCTGCCTTTCTTCTTGCACTGGTACTCTGAGTCCAGAAGAATAAACGCATGAGAAGTTATGCCTCATCTGTGAAGCAGACCCTGAGACCTCAGTGCTCTGAGCAATGAGGCTGTGATGAGTTTTTCACCTCCCTGTCCCACTGCCTTCAGATAAGAGGACAACCTAGCTTCATGTTGTGAATGCATACTATGCCTTAGTAGGCAATTCTTCCTACTTAGTGATATTTGTTTTTCAAAAGCTTATAAATGTGCTGAACTGAATTTTCTAAGATGGAGGTAAATGGTAAGAGAAATCACACTGGGAAAACAGAAATCCTCACGTGCCAGTGAGGAGGTTTTAATCTGCACTAGAAATGAGTGAAAACAATAAGCACCACGCATCACTTGAGCATGAATTATTTAAGGAGTTTTCTCTTCCCCTTGGTGCTCTGAATCCTCAAGAAAAAAAAAAAAACAAAGAAAAGTAGGCCAGAATAGAGGTGGGGAGCAGATGGGAGCAAAGGGATGAAAAGGTACTCACTGTGGCACGATTATGATTTGAACAAAGCAGATGAAGAGGAAGACTAGGGAGGCACAAGCCACGTAGGCTCCAAACCTGTCATCCACCTGCTTGGAGTACTGCGAAAAATGCAAACAGGGTTATGTTAGTGGGAAATTTGCCTGGCTGCCTTTTCTCCACAAAAACTTCTTTCTTGGCTTCCATTTAGGTCCTTGGAAAGCAGGACTGGTAGGAAATGACTAACATTACAAACTCCCCTTCTCCCTGGGCAAGCTGTAAGGGCATGAACAGACCCGAAGGCCAGGGAACAAACCCACACAGCTGGGTGGAGAGGAGATTCGCCATCTGCCCCTTGCACGAGAGGAACAGGGATGGATTAACTGGGGCCAGGATTCTAGGTCACCACCGTCAGACATAAACTTCTTCCATGGGAAGTTTCCTCCAACAGGCATGAATGTTGCTAATGAGAAAACCTTGTATGTTGTGCAGACGGCTTGGCTCGTTTTAATGATAGTGTGAGGATGCTGCGGTTTTCACATAGTCACTCCTTCCAACTACTTGTCAACATATTGGTCACATGGGAGCTGCATCCGATTCCCAAAGATGCTTTATTTAGCTTGAAGCACGGTTCTCACTACAGACAGTCTCAATGTTTGAACCACAAAATAAAAGGTGCTCAGAACAGGTGAACTGCTAATTTCCCTGGCAGTTTTCAGCTATAAAATTGAAGGGAAGGAGTGTGGGGAAATTACATGCTTGAGCTTTTATCCATTCCCACACTGATTCATTGAATAGCCGTAAATCCTGCAAAGGTCTG